ACTGTCTATTTAAAAAGAAACAAATCGGGGATTTAGCTCAGTGGCACCACACCTGCCTTGTAAGCCCAAGGTTCTGAGTTCTATCCCTGATACCAGAAAAAAAAGAAGAAGAAGAAGAGAAAAAAAAGAATAAAAAAAAAAAAAAATCATTTGATTGAAGTTCACCAAACTGATTATTACAGACATTCTCTTAAGTAGGTTTAGCCTGATTACAAAATTAAATACAAGTTGTAAATATTTCTTGTAATAGCTATGACTGTCCTCGTATTTTCTGCCCATATCCACTACCTATCATAAAAGTGCTTTAACACTGCCATGCAGTCTTAGCCCACATCAGAGACTAAAGCTCTTGAGGATAAACCTACTCCTTTACGAACATTTTTTTGTTTTATTTTCAGGGTCTCTCAGTTCAGTCTTTGAATTACGTAGCCCAGGCTGGCCTCAAACTCATGGCACTCTGCCTGCCTCAGCCTCCCAACGCCCTGGGATTACAGGTGTGCACCACCATGCCTGGCTACCTCTGCATACTTCCACAGCTATCTTGGGAGGCAATGTTCCTGCCCTATTTTATAGATGAGAATGATTACTCAATCTCACACAGCTAATAGACACCAAAGTGAGATTTCCACTCCATCCACATGCATCAAGTAATACAGTTAAACATTTGGCCTCTGGAACTTCAAAATTCATATTCCGATAACATCAGCTTGTGATATCAGCTAATTAATAAACCTGACTCTGAGAGTCTGCTGTACAAGGGGAGTGGCTGGCCTCTCCTTCCCAGAAGGACTCCATGGAAGGAAGAAGCAACAACCTCCAAGATGACAAAGGCTTTCTACTCATCTCACTGCGGCCCCGTTCCCATTCCTTTTCTTACTTTTTAAGGAATTTTGAGGCAAGCACAGTTTGTTTCCCTTCCTCCTCCTCCGAGTCTGACTCAGAAGATGTGATACTTGTGTCCCACTCCTCATCATCTTCAGAGTCTTCCGAGTCCTCATTCTCGTCCTTTGAGGAGAGGAAAGAGTCAGAGGGAGAAGGCAGGGCACTGGCCTCTGTTCTCCTCGTCACCAGAGCTCCGGGGGTTCAGGGGCAGAGCAAGAGTAACTGCTCCTCAAGGACTCAGGGTCGAGCTGGAGCCCAGAGGGTCACAACTCCCCACTGCACACACCTTCCAAAGCCAGGCCCAACATTTAAATTCCAGTTCAGTTCCCTCAGCACTCTATTCTAAAAGGAAGCCCATTCCCAAATCAGAATCCATTAAGCCCCACCCACTCTGAGTCTTTTCTTCTCCTCAGAGAACCACACGGTCTCTTGCAGGCAAATTATCCCCAGCTTTACCCTGGCTCTAACCTCCACCTTTTTGAGGAACTTGCGACTCTCTCCAGAAGGGGCTTCTGATTTCTTCTTCAAGAAAGCTGCAGCGCTGACTCCATCCTCATCTTCATCCTCATCTGAAGAGCCTGGCAGAAAAGGAGGGGAGAAAAATGCCAGACCACCAAGATTAAAGGGCAACTAAGACCCCAGGCCAATGAAACCTCTAGCTCTGGACTTCCTAGCTATTTCCACACAAGGTGCCCTCTCTCACCTTCTGAATCTTCCTCATTCTTCTCTGCATCTTCATCAGCAGACTGCTCAGGGTTCTGGACAGAGGGGAATAAGAGAATTAAGGAAACCTGCCAACCACAACCCAACATCCCTTCATCTGACAGTTCAGTCATTGTTTTACGTTCAGTCACATTTCCATTTGTTAATGCTCTTTTATTTATTTATTGGTACCAGAGATAGAACTAGGGTCCTTCTGCTTGCAAGGCAGACGGCGGAACCACTGAGCTAAATCCCTGGCCACTAACGTTCTTCTTAGTACCAGGGTCACTGTTCCCCAGTTCAGTAAGTCTCCCCCTAGCATCCCCACCTGCTTGTAGTTTGTGATTTGGGACTCAAAATCTCGGTTGTATTTTCGGATCTTCTGGCGCAAGGTACTGAGAGCCTTGGCATTGTTCTTGTTCATCTTCTTCTTACCTTCCTTGTCTTCCCAAAGCTAAAGGCAAGAGGCAAGAAGGGGAGAAAATGATCTAAGACTTTAGTAGTGTTCCCTAAACTTCAGGCTTCACTATGACTTTTTTTTGTCATGCAATCTGTATATCATCTGTACTTATTAACCACATTCATTAACTTTTTTTTTTTTGGTGGTGCTGAGGATTGAACCCAGGCCTCACACACATCAAGCAAGCACCCTACCACTGAGTTATGTACTCAGCTCATTAACTTACTTTATTTTTGGTACCAGGGATTGAATTCAGGACCTTGAGCTTTCGAGGCAGGCAGCAGCATCACTGAGCTAAATTCCCAGCCCTACAGTAACTTATTTTTTGAAGATCCTTTATACATCACCACTGAAAGTACAAAACCATAAGCTGGGCACACACTTGTAATCCCACCATTCCAGGAGGATTACTTGTAAGTTCAAGGCCAGCCTGAAATACAAAGTGAGATCCTATCTCAAAAATCCCATTGGGCCAGGGATTTAGCTCAGTGGTTCCAGCGCCTGCCTTGAAAGTACAAGGTCCCAAGTTCAATCCCCGGTACCAAAAAAAAAAAAAAAATCCCAAACAGCCAGGGATTTAGCTCAGTGGTTCCAGTGCCTGCCTCACAAGCGCAAGGTCCTGAGTTCGACCCCTGGTACCAAAAACAACAACAACAAAAAAACCCCGAACAAATAAAAGTATAAAGCCATTAAGAGGTGGTAATAAGCACAAATTCAATCAAGTTCTTAGCAAAACAAAAGTTGCTCTCTTAGCTCTATCTCATTTCCTATATTCTAGAAAACACTGTATACGAATAGGCAAAGAACCCACAGACATGATCCCTGGGAGTTACGATCATGGCTAGTCCCTCACCTTTTTCTAGATCCCCTTTACCCACAAGCATTGCACCTCATTAAGATAGTCCTCGAGGTCAGCCAGGATGCGGATATAGAACCGGGGCACACCTTCCTTGTCCACAATACTCTTGGCCTTCCCATATGCTTTTCCCAGGAGCTCAAACTCTTCCAGGCACTTGGTGACATCTCGAATTTTCATGGCATTACGAATGGTCCGGATAAGGTTGGTCAGCTCCTCAAACCTGGAGTGGCAGCCAACACCACACAAAACATGTCCACAGTGGAGAAAACTCACCGCTGCTCCCAGCTTCTTGCCATCAACCAGCCTCCCATGGCCTTACCTCTTGTCCTTGGCACTTCGGACAACTCTCTTGGTGTCTTCTTCATCCTCACTCAGTAACAATGGCCTGTTTGGAAGTACCAGAGGTCATTAACCTTCATTCCTAGTGCCACTATCTTTTCTTAGAGGCAGCAGGTAGAACTGAGGACTCAGGTCATCCACACCACACCCAGGTCTTTAACTTGCTCTCCACAGACTCATCTTGTACAACTCTATCTTTTTTCTTTTGGTACTGGGGATTGAACTCAGGACCTTACACTTGTGAGGCAGGCAGCAGAACCACTGAGCTAAATCCCCGGACCTACAACTATATTTTTAAGTCTACTTCATCTAAAGCCTTTTGTCAAATTGGAGCACATACAAAAACCACAGCATCCATCTTCTCAAAAATAAATGAAGAATACTTATTTATTCTGAGACAACTAATTACAAACAGGCACAAATCACTATTAAGTGCTAAAAGAAAAAATGTAGAGAAAAAGGGCACTTCAACTATAATGAATGGAAAAGGCTTCATGGAGCTGATACCTCAAGGTCCCAGAAAGCAACATTTCCCAAAGGAGGAAAGGCCAAAGACAGAGTTTCAATGTCTTTTAATGCTTCCATTGCTAATATTTTTTATGACATCAAGATACAGACTCAGCATTCGGCAAGCAACAGTATTTCAATTCTTTCCATTTTATTAACTTTCCTGAATATTTTGTTTTATGCAAGTGTTAATTTTTCATTTGTGACAGTGTTGTAAAATCATATTCACGTTGGTGTACATATACATCAGTGTGTGGATATACATAGATTTTTGAACAGTAGAACAAAGATAGGGCAAGAACAATGGAAGTGGCATGCAAATGAGAAGTTTGAAAACTAGCACTGCATTGTTTCAAAGGGTATTTGCAGAGATGAGGGAAGGCTGTCTAAGTGGAGGTAAACAAGAACCTAATAAATATTTGGGAACCTGCCTGCAGAGACAGGCGGCTGGATTTCAAAGCTACATCAGGAGTCGCTCCAGACATTAACCAAACGTTTAGGGTTTCCCTCTATGAGCAACGTGAGATTAATGACGATTTCTTACAGGTAAGAAGAGCTATGATTTTTGGATTTTGGTTAAGACTGATCGATGCAGAGAGGGAGAAGAGGCAGGGAGAAGAGGCGGATAGAAGGGAAAGCGATGCGGGGGTGAGGGCTGGGCGGCGAGCCTGCAGACTTAAGGCCGGCTAAAAGCTGACACAATAGTCCGAGCCAGGGGAAATTTGCTCTGCGACTCTCCCCCTCGTACCCGACGGCGGGGGGAGAACCCTCAGCAGCCCAGAGCGAGGACGTCCTCCCTACGCTGCTTCGCCCGTAAACCCCGACCTTCCCTAGAACCCGCTCCTGCCGGGACCCCGCGGCGCAGCCCCTCCGACTCACTGTTTGCCGTAGTTTCCCCCGACAGGTTTGGTGACGAGCTCCTCCCCGGACAGGGACGACTCGGACTCGCTGTCCGAACCGGTGGTGAAAAACCGCGACATGGAGGTGGCGCTGAGGGACTGCGGCCGCGACCTGAGGAGAGCCGGAGCGTCACGGGTCACAGGAAGGGACTCGGGCCACCACCTCCCCACCCCTGACCCCTCACTGTCCCCGCCCGAGTCTCCTACCTCGAAGCACGAGCCTCAAGATATACTAACCACCTGAGCTCTGGAGACCCACGGCGAAGCCGAAACAGCGGAAATGCCGAGAGGAAGAGGCGGACCGCGCGTCACTTCCGGGAAGCGCTGACGAATCACGGGGGATGACTACAACTCCCAGCAGGCTTCGCGCCGCAGGTAGGAGGAGAGAAGCTAGAGGTTGGCTGTAAGGCTTCGGCAAACTGCAGCTGCTTCCTGAAACCACCGCTCCTGGGCGGCAGGACTTAAACACGAAATACCTTAGCGTCATCCCTGAACTGCAGAATCAGAATGTAAGGGCAGCAACCACGTGATACTGATGGGCTGCTAGATGCTTGGAGCTAGGCTTAGAGCAAACTTCCATTCAGACCTTTAGGGTTGGAATCCCAGCTCCACCATTTCCTTAGGCAAATTTCCTAACCTCTCTGCTTCGGTTTCCCCAAACTATAAATTATTTAATTAATTAATAAGAAATTAATAATAAAGCAATAATGGCATCTATTTCATAGGGAGTTATGAGAATAAAATAACAGTACCGTGAAGCATTTGGGCAGTGCGTTGTGCAAAATTAGCGGGGAATATTAGCTAGTATTCATTCATTCATCATTCCACAAATAGTATTTATTGTGAATGAGCAGTGTCCTAGATGCTGCATACAGCAGTGAGCAAAATGCAAAGGACTCCTGCTTTTACAAAGAATTCACATTCTAGTGGAGAGACATAATTAGCAAGTGCTTTGGTTATTTTTTTTTTTGGTACCGGGAATCGAACTCAGGACCTTGCGGTTGTGATGCAGGTGGTGGAACCACTAAGCTAAATCCCCAGCCCAAATAGCAAGTAAACAAAAAATTCCACATAATAATACTAGTAAAGCACAATAAAAGCGACTGGTTAGAGGAAGGTTCTTTATGGATAGAGGGGTCAAGACTCGTGATTTTTGCACCAGGCTCCAAATGACAACAAGGAAGGAACCATGCAGAAGATCATCTAGGGAAAAGAATTCCAAACAAGTTCAAAGGCCTTGAGGCAGAAATGAGTTTTGCTGGGTTCTGAAAATAAAGAGAATGCCAGTAAGCCATCAGTAAAGTGAGCAAGGCATTCATAACAAAGAAGTAGGCAATACTAGACCCATGTGGGTCCTTATAAACCTGAGGATTTAAATCCAGATGCATAGGAGAGACCCTCAGCAAGGGTTTTAGCATAGACTACAATATTTTACACTTTTGAAAGTGTTTTTGTCACACGGCTTGTGTCTGTTTTAGTTTCTTTCTTGTTACTGGGATGAAATACCCGATACCCACAAGTTAAGGCAGAAAAGGTTTCAGTCCATAGTCGGCTGGCTCCAAGGCAGGGTAGCATGGCAGAGCAGAAACAGTCCATGGCAGTGCAGGCAAGAGAGAACAGCCTTCCTTCTTCTTTCCCTTTTTATTGCATCCAGGCTATCAGCCTATTGGCTGGTGCCATGCACACCCAGGGTGGGTCTTCCCTCTTCAGTAAATCCATCATCCACACCCAGAACTGTGCTAAGCCAATCAATGAATGAATGCCAGTATCAGGCACTCATGATCCAGGAATCTCCCAAATCCCCACCCACGAGCACATGAGGCTTTAGGGGGACATGTAGATATAAACCACAACAGCGTCTCATTCTATTTTTACTGGGAGAATATCATTCCATTATATGGTAAACATAAAATGTATTTCCTGAGACTCCTTTGGATGATTGCTTCTTTTGCTCATAATAACCCTGCAAGGTGGGCAATATTGTCCCACTTTGGAAAGGAGGAAGTCAATGTCCTAAGAGGTCATGGCAGCCACAGACCACAAGGAGTCAATCTGCATGGTCAATGACAAGACCATCAGGGTTGGGCTGGCCAAGCTTGCAGAGGGTTGCAGGCACCAGCCAGGGACTTACTGTGTGCACGCTAGGGCACCTGGCCGCTTTTTCCTTTAGACCTGGGTGTTCTGGGCCTGGGCTACTGTTTAACTCAGAAAGTGGATCTGGTCCCAGGAAGCAGGTTCCAAGGAGGGCTCTCCCTTTATTTTCCAGGTTTTCCTTGGTTGCCCTGGGCCAGATCCAGCCTGGAAAGAAGACTCTAGGGCAGGTGGACTCTGCATTTGTTCTCCAGCCTTTTCCTTAGCTACCTCCTGCTTCAGCGATGCTCATGAGATTCATCCACATTATTACACATCCTGGTACAGTGGGTCGACCTTTCTTCCAGTGCCTGGGATTGAACTCAGGGCCTCATGGATGCCAGGCCATTGCACTGCCCCAGAGCTATACATCCCTTCAGCCCCTTATTCTTTTATGATTGGATAATAGTCTTCATAGTATGACTATGTCAAAATGTATTTATTCTGCTATTGATTTGGGTTGTTTCCAGTTTGGGGCTATTAAAAATAAAGCTTTGGCAGGAGATTTAGCTCAGTGGTTTTGGCACCTGCGCTGCAAGCGCAACAACCCGAGTTGAATCCCTGGTACCAAAATAAATAAATAAAGCTTTTATCAACATTTTTTTTGTTTGGTACCGGGGATAGAACTTGAGTCCTTTCAACATTTTTATTTACAAGTATTTTTGGATATAAATAATTATCCTCTGAGTGAATACTGTTATACCCTAAGTGTATTTATGAAGGAGGAAAAAAAAGGACATTTTAAAAAAGAGATTTGCATTGTAGTATGTAAAGAGCGAGGCATGATTTCCCTAGAAGGTATAAAGCAGTCAAAGAGATTGGCTCCTATTACAGTGATAGTTTGTTTTCCCGAGGTAACAACTATAACATGAACAAATAATGAACCTTTTTCCTTCTATGTGACATTACAAACACACACACACACACACACACACACACACACACACACATATATATATATAGTTAGAATTTTTATACACAGAAAAACAGTAGGTTTTACTATGGGTGGTGCCTTCAGGGAGGAAATTTTCTGAATACAGCCAACAGCTCTTGTAAAAAACTAAACAAAACAAAAAACAATGTTGCCTCAATGTCTTAACTCTGGCTGCTATAACAAAATCCCATCAGGTGGAGCAGAGTGTGGGTGATGGTTAAACATTTACTTTTCACAGTTTTTAGGATGTCCAAGACCAAGGTGCCGGCAGATACCATGTGTAGTGAGAGCCCTCTTCCTGGGTTACAGACAGCCACCTTCTTGCTGCAATCTCACCCAGCTCAGACGACAGCGTCCAGCTTTCTCTTCATCATGAAGGCTCCACCCTCGTGACCTCCCTACTTCCCTCACAAACCTCCACCTCCAAATGTCGTACCCCTGGGGGTTAGGGCTTGGGAATACTCATGTCCACAGCCACACTGTATTTGAATGACTGAACAATCCAGTGCATATTAAAACCAAGCAGAAACACTTTGGTTCCTATGTAAGATGAAGTTAGGGTTGGCACATGGATGCCTGGGGAGGGGAACCTTGAGGAGCCATTCCAACATAGACGGACCGGTGCCTCAGGGCCCACAGTGCGTGCAGGGCATCCTGGCTGCACCCTCTGAGGACATTGAGCCATCACAGTGAGATTCACCACAGGAAACCGAAGGAAACTTTCGGAATGACCCAGGGGCGGTGGCACCCAGGGAGAACCACTGTTCATGACCCGCTTGCTGAAGTCAACAGCAGCCACAGCTGGTTTATTAAATTTAACTTAATGATTTAATATTGAGTAAAATTAAAAGGTCAGTTTCTCAGTCATACTAGCTACATTTCAAGTGCTTAAAAACAACATGCAGGAGGATGTGGTGGTGCATGCCTGCAATCCCAGCCCTTGGGAGGCTGAGGCAGGAAGATCACCATGCGTTCAAGGCCAACCTGGGTTACTTAGTGAGTTCAAGGCAAGCCTGAGCTACAGAGCAAGACCCTGTCCGAGAAAACAAAAATTAGACAAAACAAAACTAAACAACCAACCAACAGGCAAAAACTCCATATGCACTGTTATGCTAAGCAAGCCAGGAAATCACCAAACACTGGAACAAAGACAGAGTTAAAAACTGAAAGGAGTTTATTCACGTGAGTGGACTCCACCCTCTAGGAGAAGTGAAGCCCAGAAGCAAGGGACAGCACAGCTTTTATAGGTAACTCAAACAAAGAAGCTCAGGGAGAGGTCAACATGTCCTTTAACCAGCTGCAAATTATCTTTCACAACCCAGCTATCTTGTCAAGATAGGACATTCTATGGCTACAGGGTTGGCGGTTACGGGGAGACACCAGGCACCATCTGTTCCCAGGAGTGATAAAGCATATCTACAGAAGCAGAGCGAGCTGTTAGAAGGACAGTTACAAAAATGCATCTTTAGGAGAATTCCAGCACTCTGTAAGGGGAGGGGTATGAGGGGAGTTTACTCACAGGCCAAGATGGCGTTGCTTAGGTTCACTTTTGGTCTCACATTCCCCACTGGTTTTTGTACAAAATCAAACCTTTGATTTATCTCTGTCATATATTTTTTTAGGCAAGGCTTTATACATTTGATTCAGCAACATAATATTCAAATTTAATAATCTATGAACCACTGAGAGCACCCCATACAGTAACGTAGGCATTGTATGTCGCAACACGCTAACAACAAACTTATGAGTATAAGAAAAAGCTGTTTTAACTATTGCATATTAGGCAACCATTGAGTTAACCATTGAAACAAATCCCATCCTAATTTTTTATTATGTATTTTTTTCTGTCAATTTTTTAAAATTGTTTTTTTTTTTTAATCTCTGGGCTATTGTCAGTCATATTAAAACAACACATATTTTTTATTTTTTCACATCCTTGATGATGGAACAAGAAAAAAAGCAAGTAATCTATTGTTGCCCTGTTGTCTAGTATAGCCCGTCGGTGTAATTTCTGATTGATTAATGCCAAGATAGATGAGGTAGCATTTAGACCTTTGACCACCTTGCATGCCAATTTTCATGCCACCTTTTCTGCATGAATTTCTATGGCAGGCTGAGCAAGCACAGATGCTATCATAGGTATCACTTGAGCATCTGTTAAGAGACCTACATCATCATCACATCCTGGTTTAGTATAGGGTGACCAACGTTTAATTTTGGGGCACTAACAAATCAGTTTGATCTGGGGATATTATGGCCAAGTGACTCAGGCAGCACCGAGTCTCAGACAAGTAGGCAGGGATATAAGTAAACGTTACTCCTTCACATGTATAAAACCATCCTGATGGTAAAGGCACATGACCATCACTGTATATGATTTTTTGTTTCTCATAACAGGTCATTTTTTCTAACCTTTTTAATCTTAGACATTGTGTATTGTTTAACATAATCATCTGAGGTGTATATAACGTAATAGCATTTTTTGGTTTAGAATAAGAGGGGGGCCCCAATTGTAACTATCTTTATACATAAGATTTTTTCCTGGGATGTCTTTAAACAGGGTATAAGGTTGTATCAGACTCAAGGGAGTGCATACCGGGATGAGACAACTCCCTAATACATAATGTAAATTTATGTCTACATTTAAACAGAACTCAGAGAAATTAAGTGATTGTGCCAGCTGAATCCAAACATTACCAGCAAGGTCCAATTGTTTTTGGGGTAATATTGTCAATGTTTCAGAAAATAATGACTTAAAAATAATGATCATAATAAATGTTGAATTATAGGTCAATATAGCAAACAACATTATTTCCAGCAAAAGTAGTCCATCAGTTTTTCTTTTTATCTCTTGGGCCTCGGGGTTAATGTCTATCTATTTATCGTCATTTTTTTAAGCTGAAACTGACTCACAACCCCACTCAGCACACTAAGGGGGGCTTTTTTGACACTTTGAATGGCCGTCTGAATTTCAAGCATAAAATTGTAAAGGCTTAAGGACTGAGACAGCCAGATTGCCCGGAGTATTTACCAAGTGCCACATTATATTTCAGCAGTCTGTACTTAAGGGATTCAGGTGGGGACGGAACAGTTGGCATAAAGAAACAACTTTAAACTTTAGATCATTTTGGTCTGGTCCAAACTTTGTCCGTCTATATATGTGTCCCGTGTCAGTTTCCCAGAGCTGCCATTTTTCCCACTGGGGCGGTTGTCCCAGCCGTTGTCCCCCCACACATTTCAGTATTAACAAGAAGGGGATATATTTCCAACCTGTCCCAGTCTTAGCTTTTTGTCGCCTGGTTGACTGATGATCCTCCACTTGTCCTCCGAGGTGTCCTCAGGAGCCACTTTGATGTGGCAATGATGTATCCACGGTGTCTTTCCCGCAAACTTTACAGCAGATGGGGTCATCAAGATCACCTGGAAAGGCCCTTCCCAATGTGGCTCCAGAGCCTTAGATGAATGTCTCTACCAGCACCAGATCTCCAGGCTGAAATTTATGGCAGGTGACATCAGGTTGAGGGGCCAGCCTGGCTTCCTGAACTCGATTTTGCAGTTTCTGTTGGATTACCTGGAGGGCTTTTAAAGAATTTAACAAAGTATGATTTTTACATTTTGATACATTTTTAAAATTTACCCTGGCCAGTAAGGGAGGTTTTTTTTGGTGGGAAGTTTGCAAGTAGCCAATCTGAGAGTGTTATTCAGCTCTCCTTACTGCTGATTGGCTGATGCCCTGTAACCCATCTTGATCAGATGCACTGCAGGGTGTTGTACGGTGGGTAGCTATCTGGAGTGTTCTCAGTTTTGTTCCTTTTTGTTTTGTTTTGTTTGAGACAGGGTCTGGCTATGTAGTTCAGACTGGCCTTGAACTCACTGTGTAGCCCAGGCTGGCCTTGAACTTGTGGCAATTTTCCTGTGTCAGCCTCCTGAGTACTAGGATTTCAGGCATGGGCCACATCGCCCTGCAGTTTTGTTTTTCTTAAAGCCCTAAGACCACTAAAATGCAGCCAAAAGTCTTTATTAATACAGTATTTTTAAAATTAAATTAATAACTGTGGGAGACATAGCATATTTAGGGTTTAAACTATAAAAATAGGCATTTACAGGCATTTTTCTGACTGTATCTGCAATTTGCAGTTTTTCACAATCCAGGGGTGCTCTAGAAAGTAACCCCCGTGAATTTCAGGGGTCCACTGTCCACAGAGGAGGAGAAAATATTTGCAAGTCATGTATCTTAGAAGGGACTTACATCTAGAGTGTATAATGAAATTCTACAACTTCAAACCAAGAAGCCAGTTTAGAACTGCCTGCTTTATTTTTTCTGTGCTGGAGATTGAACTGAAGGCCTCAGGCTTGCTGGGTAAGTGCTGTACACTGAGCTGTAGTCCCAGCCCTGCAAGTCCAATCTGAAAATGAAATGAGCAAGGATCTGGGTAGATATTTCTCAAAGAAGATGTACGTATGGCCAATAAACTCATGCAAACATGTGTAACACCAATAACCATCAGGGCAATGCAAATTCAAACCACAACAAAATACTACACTCCCGAGATCGGCTGTAAAAAAACCAAAACCAAAACACACAAAATGGGAAACAGCCAGTATTGGTGATTCTGTGGGGAACCTGGGGCCTCATGCACCACTGCTGGGATGTAAAATGGTGTGGCCATTGTGGAAAGCAGTTTGCCAGTTCTGTTTGTTTATTTCTTTTGCTTTTCTTTGTTTTGTTTTGTTTTGTTTTATTTTGTTTTGAGACAAGGTCTTGCTATGTAGTTCAGGCTAGCCTCAAACTCTTGGCAATCCTCCTGCCTTAGCCTCCCAAGTGTTGGCATGGCAGTTTCTTAAAGGGTTAAAGGTGGGGTTTCCATAAGAGTGAGATACTCCACTTCTATCTGTTTTCATTTTTTTATTATTATGGTTTTTTTATTATTATGGGTTTTTCTTGGTACTGGGGATCAAAATCAGGTTCTTGCACTTGTGCAGCAGGCGGCGAAACCACTGAGCTAAATCTCCGGCCCCACTTCTAGATGTTATCCAAGATAAAGGTTTATAGGAACATCATTTATACCAAAGAACTGAAACTTAAATGTCTATCAGCTAACAAATGGATAAACAAAATGTTATACATCAATACAATGGAATAATATTCAGCCATAAAAGGAATAAAATATTATGGAAATAAGTACTGATATATACAAGATAAACCTTGAAAACTTATGCTAATTAAAAGAAGCCAGAGGGCTGGGGATTTAGCTCAGTGGTTCCACTACCTGCCTAGCAATCAGAAGGACCCAAGTTCAATCCCCGGTACCAAAACACAAACAAACAAACAAAAGAAGCCAGATACAAAAGTCCATATATTATGTATTCTATTCATACAAAACACCCAGAATAGGGAAATGTATTGAGGCAGAAATGGACTGCTGGTTTCTGAGCTGTGAGAGATTGAAAGCGTGGGGAGGTGATAGCTACAGCATACATTTCTTTCCTTTCTTTTTCTTTTCCCTTTCTTTCTTTC